TGTGTGTGTGTTTGTGTGTGCACGCATCTGCTAAGTAAATTGAGTGGTAGAGGGCAGTAGTGTCCTATAAAAGGACAGTATCCACATGAGCTGCTTCTGACATTGTCCTGAGTCCTCTTAGGCCCAGAGTGCATGCTAGCATATGATTAGTATCTATGAGGCTTCTCCTAATGCAGCCCTTGCTGTTAGCAGACAGAACTACACTGTAGTTTTCCTTCTCTATGCCCACTGCTGGTCTCTAGTGCTGCCAAAGTGAATGGATACCTAAAGAGCTTCCAAGAGGGGCAGGGTGTGTCTGGAGCTGCTTCAGACATCAGGTAGGAGTTTGCTAGAGTTGAGTTCTAGAAGCGAAGCCATGCAAGGAGCTAATTTGTGAGTTCCAAATCGAAAGTTAGAGGTTAAATAATTCCTAAATACAGACAGAGTGTTGATCATCATTGGGATACAATATCCACATCAACAACACAGAACATAAGCTCTGGTTTACTTATTTTTAAAGAACTCATAATTTGTATGTTAAAAATACATTTCAAACCTAAAACTGATCTGTTATATTTGTCTCAGTTCATAAAATAATTTGCTCTCCTCTTTTTTGTGAAAATAAGTTTTCTAATAAGACAACAGAAAAGTTAAATAGATTAAAGTGGAGGCAGCACTACTGGCCTGGTGATCCTATTAATTATCATTCTGTAGACTTTAGAGGTTATATGACTCTGCTGTACTAATACAAACTCAGGAGATGTCCACAGTGAAGCTGAAGGAGGTCTCAGATGTGTATTTCCCCATGGTTAGAAATGTGTCTGACATACAATAAACATTCAGTAAGTGCAAATTATTGCTTTTATTCATATTAAATGTTCCAAGCAACTTAGTAAAGCTGAAAATTAAAAGATGTAACAATTGGAAAGTGAAACACTCTGCTTCTTACACATCTAGCATGTATTATAATGAGAGGCAAAGGGTGTTCCTCTCCCTTTGTGTTTTATAGCCTAGTAGAGACACTACCTAGAAACATAGTGCGTACAGATATATTGGGGTGCTCCTTGTCAGTTTATATGTGCGTATGTAGTATCTTCCTAAAGGTATGAATTTGATTTTCAGCAATACTTCAATTTGGATTATACAGCTTAATTTCTTTTTACTTAGTTTTAAAATAGAATGTTACAATAACTTGGTGTTGTTTTATTAAGACAGCTTCTTCTCTCCTTTTCCTTATTCTTCTTGCATTCTTTTTTCTCCCTCATGGCTTTTAGCGTTGGCTAACCACTTGTTCCTCAGCACTGACTATCTGTGGGGAGTAATTATAATTAGATTTCTTTTTAAGAAAACCGCTTAGCAAAGGCATTTATACAAATTCTTCTTTCATGTATGAGTGTGTCTCTAGATTTTTAGTTTGGTCAAAGTATGTATTTTGCAAAAACATACACCATCCTAATGTCTTTGTAGCTGAAGGAGGCTGTCCAGATACCACTTTCATCGAAGATGCAGTGCACGTTCTTCTAAAAACTCGGCGAATCCTCAAGTGTTCTTATCCATATGGATTTTTCTTAGAACCTAAAAGCACAAAGAAAGAAATTTTTGAACTAATGCAAGTAAGATGCCATTTTAAATTGTTTTGGCTTTATGAGTAGTAAAACACTTTTGTTTTTATTTTTAAATGGCTTTAAATAAAGAAAAATTACCCTTAATGAACTAAAAATTTTCTTTGTGTTTAAATTTGTCAGCATGAGTTTAAGTGAGTTCTGAGCTGTGCAACATTTCTACATCATTAGTTTATTTCAAACTGGTCAAATGTGGCCTATTTCTTAATATATAAAAATGGAGGCTTTATCTTAGGAAATGAAACAAACTATATTGCATATTTGAATAGAAAGTTCACCTTCTCATTTTATTTCAAAAGTACAATTCAGAAAGTTACATATTTAAAACAGAGACCCTGACATTAGTCACTGGCCTCACCGGCCTCACAGAACTACTCCTAGTTGGAAGCCACAATTTCCTCCTTGCTATTTTCATTTTACACTTTTAAGCTGCCCTCTATTGATTTATAATCTACATTTTTTCAAGGTCATGATAGTCTTGCTTTGTCTTAGAATCCTTCAGCATTTATACACAGCCTGCATCCCAGCAGCTGTGTACTAGCTTGTGCAGTTCCCCTACTGGACTGGACTGTTTTGTTTTGTTTTCAACGAAGACAATAACAAATTTCTTCCAAGTGGTAACTTACTCCACTACTGGGTGATTTGTACCCGCTGCCTTCTTATAAGTGTCTATCAAATAAATGTTGTCTTCTTGCATTTTTGATGACTTAAACTGTCATCTTTTTATAACGTAAAAATCATCCAAAAATTATTTAAAAATTTAATTTCTGACCTCAAAAGAATTTGACTTGACTAAGAAGCCAGCTGTGCTTTGTATGCGTTTACTAACCCATTCAGCTTGTGACTCTTGTTCTCCTTCTTTCTATAGACAGACCTAGAAATGGTCACTGAAGACCTTGCCCAAAAAGTCAATAGGCCTTATCTTCGTACACCTCGACACAAGATCATCAGGGCAGCATGCCTTGTGCAGCAGAAAAGGCAAGAATTCCTGGCGTCTGTCGCTCGTGGGGTTGCTCCTGCAGACTCACCAGATGCTCCCAGGCGCAGGTAAAGTTTGTGCACTGCAGAAACCTCACTGGCTTGAGCCTCTAGTGGCAGGACTTTTTTTTATTTAGCTAGCATTTATATTCTCAGAAGTTACTTATACCTACAATATGGATAGCTGATCAAAAATGTGTTAAATCCTTTCTGATGATGTTCTTCCTAATACAAAAAAATTTTTCAGAATGGTTGTCTGTCTGATGTTGTGTAACTCTCCAAACTAAATTAGGTCACTTCTCACACACCAGAACTCACAATCCAGAGAATTCTGACGTGTCAGATTAATTATGTAGTGACTTGACAGTGATACTCAGAAGAAACACCTTAGGACACAGAATTGGTAACTTTGCCAACTTGCTGTGCTCATGTTGTATTTTGATACTATGAAATTACAAGGAAATAAGAAGCCAACTATTTGTAAGGCTACTTAAGTGATCTGAATTAGTCCTCTAAAAGTTGGCTTGCTTGTTTTTTCTCACATCGTAATTTTACTGCTTCTACCACAATAAATTGAAGCATTTTTCTTATAATTATAACATTAAAAGTCAAGTGTCTTTGTTTTTACATAAATATATGTAGATAAATTTCTTTTATGCTTATGAAATTAAAATGAAAGCAGTCAGAACACTTTTATATATCACAATTATTTTTATTTTCTCCATCATTTTTTACACATATAAAGCAATTTAAAATTTCAAAAATACTGGAAGTAATTATATTTTAATATTTGGATCTTTGGGTCTATGGAGTTTATCATGGATATCCTGTACTTTATGGCTAATGTCCACTTATAAGTGAGTACATGCCATTCATGTCCTTTTTGGGTCTATGTTACCTCACTCAGGATGATATTCTCAAGCTCCATCCATTTGCCTGCAAAATTCATGATGTCTTTGTTTTTAATAGTTGAATAGTATTTCATTGTGTAGATGTCCACATTTTCTTCATCCATTTGTCAGTTGAGGGGCATCTAGGTTGTTTCAAGTTTCTGGCTATTGCTGATAAAGCTGCTATGAACATAGTTGAGTCAGAGTTTTTGTGGGATCGTGGACCATCTTTTGGGTATATGCCCAGGAGTAGTATAGCTAGGGCAGTAAATGAGATGTAAAGTGAATAAATAAAATTTAAAAAAAATAGTTAGATATAGATTGGTCTGGCAGGTTATAAGCAGATAATCATTAAAGGTAATATCCAAAGGGTAAGGGTCTGGTTGTATACTTGCAGTACTGATAATGAATCAAACAGTATGTTTAATTTCTTTGTAGCTTTGCCGGTGGAACATGGGATTGGGAATATTTAGGATTTGCATCACCTGAGGTAATTGTTTTTCTGGGGTTTGGGTTGTCTTCATGGTTTTTTTCTTCATGCAATCCTGCTTGCATTTGCACCCTAGCCTATTCTAAATCCTCTGAGGCCAATGATGCTATCTCTCCCCTTTGTAGCAACAATGCCCTCTGCAGGTCCTGCATGCAGCTCTCTTGTATTGGAGTCTACTAGTGCATTCCCCATTCAGTGCTATTACTTACTAAATAGAATTTAGTCAGATTGACAGCATGAATTTTTGGAACATGTCTTCTAGTTTGTAATAGAGATTTAAATTATATTTATTAGAAATGTGTAATTGTAATGTTCTTTTAATCTAAACACATTAAGTTTCTTGAGGTTACTGCCACAACCTGAGGTGAATTTCTTGTCATTGTTTTCCAAGGTAGAAAGCCTCACAGGAGTGGTGTCTGTGTAGAGATGCTTTCTTGCTTTCTGCTGCCCTTGAGACTTACAAGATTCTGCCCTGTTTTTATTAATAAACCTGGTGTACAGCACAGGGGGTGAGGGGGTGCAGTGGAGGAGGGGGAGTCCAGACCAGGTTTTTCTATGGAGCCCTGGCTGTCCTGGAACTCCCTCTGCAGACCAAGCTGGCCTCTAACACAGCGATCTGCCTGCCTCTGCCTCCTGAGTGCTGGGAATGTATGCACGCACCAGCACAGCTGGTTTGATAAAAGAACATATGGACACTGTAGAGCAGTGGATATTCTAAGACCCAGCAAAAACCTCAGTCTGCAGCTGTTTTCTCATATTTAAATTGCCATGGCCACTGTTGTAGCTGATTTTAAAATAGTTTTAACAATTATTTTAATTTCTCTTTCCTTTGTGCTTTATAAAATGGCATTTGATATCCTTTAATTCTTATAAAGAAGAGGACAGATGGTGAAACTTTTGCTGATCTTTGTGTTTTGAAACTGAAAAACCATGAAAGTAATGACTACCAGGAATGCCTATGGCTTGTTTAAATCAGCTGCTGTCTCATCTCAGCTGCTGCTGCTGCTTCAATCACCTAGAGGCTTGGTAATTTAGATATATGCAAGAAATAGTGACAGGAGTTTGTGCTTGAAGAATATAAGGCAATTTAAACACACTTGAAGTTTAAATAATTAATATGTAATAAATAACAGTATATTTATAATAAAATAATTCTTATAAAACAAATTATTCTTTAATTTACTGATTCTGGGCTTACTATTTTGGTATCACATCATTACAGTTTAGGGGATGTGGAAATTTTCTACCTTAAGAAATAAACTTTATTCTTTAAGTCATTAACATAATTTAGCAAAGAATAAAGCCTTTCTCAGTTCACAGTTGTTTATGTGTTGTCTTGCAGTTTTGACTTAGAGTCCTAACATCTTTGGGCTTATTAGCATATATAACTGTGTCCTTTTTTAAATATTTCTCTTTAATCTTTTTTTTATAGTCCAGTCATTATCCCCCTCCTGGTCTGCCCTTCGATAGTTCCTCATCCCATTCCTCTCTCTCCCCCCCCCCCACCCCCTCGCTAAGAGGATGTCCCTACCCCCTACCTACTCCCCACCTTGCCAAGCCTCCCAGTCCCTAGGACCTCAAGTCTCTCAAAGGTTAAATTAGGTGCATCTTTTCTGAGTCCAGACTCTGGCAGCCCTCTGCTGTGTATGTGGGGGAAAGGGGCTCAGATCAGCTGGTGTGTGCTGCCCGGTTGATGGTTCAGTGTCTGAGAGATCTCAGGGGTCCAGGTTAGATGAGACTGCTGGTCTCCCTATGGGAAGAATTGTGTTGGAATGTTGATGGGATTGCATTGAATATGTAGATTGCTTTTGGTAGGATGGCCATTTTTACTATGTTAATCTTACCAATCCATGAGGTCTTCTTCAGTTTCTTTCTTGAGAGAGTTCTTGTCATACAGATCTTTCACTTGTTTGGTTAGAGTTATTTTACATTATTTGTGACTATTGTGAAGGGTGTTATTACCCTATTTTCTTTTTCAGCCCGTTTATCATTTGTATAAAAGGAAGCTACTTACTTATTTAATTTTATATCCAGCCAATTTGCTGAAGTTGTGTATCAGCTGTAGAAGGTCTCTGGTAGAATTTTTGGGGTCACTTATGTATACTATCATATCACCTGCAAATAGTGATACCTTGACTTCTTTGCCAATTTGCATCCTTTTGATCTCCTTTTGTTGTTTAATTGCTCTAGCTACTGTATTGAATAGATATGGGAGAGAGTGGGCAGCCTTGTCTAGTCCCTGATTTTAGTGGGATTGCTAAATTAAATTAAATCTCTCCATTTAATTTGATACTGGTCTTTGGTTTGCTGTATATTGCTTTTATTATGTGTAGGTATGGGCCTTGAATTCCTGATCTCTCCAATACTTTTAACATGAAGAGATTGTATTTTGTAAAATTTTTTTCAGCATCTAATCAGATGATCTTATGTTTTTTTATCTTTGAATTTGTTTATAGTGGATTACATTAATGGATTTTCGTATATTGAACCAACCTTGCATCCCTGGAATGAACCCTATTTGATCATGGTGAATGATGGTTTTGATATGTTCTTGGATTCAGTTTGCTAGAATTTTATTGAGTATTTTCATCGATATTCATAAGCAAAGTTGGTCTGAAGTTCCATTTCTTTGTTGAGTCTTTGTGTGGTTTAGGTATCAGAGTAACTGTGACTTCATAGAATGATTCTATTTTGTGGAATAGTTTGAGGAGTGTTGGTATTAGCTCTTCTTTGAAGGTCTGGTAGAATTCAGCACTAAAACCATCTAGTCCTGGGCTGTTTGTTTGGGAGGTTTTTAATGACTTCGTCTATTTCCTTAGGGGATATGGGCCTGTTTAGATAATTTATCTGCTCTTGATTTAACTTTGGCAATCGTAGTATTTGTCTAGAAAATCATCCATTTCATCTAGATTTTCCAGTTTTGTTGAGTATAGGTTTTTGTAGTAGGATCTGATGATTTTTTGAATTTCCTCAGTTCCTGTTGTTATGTCTCCCTTTTCATTTCTGATTTTAATTTGGATACTGCCTCTGTGTCCTTTAGTTAGTTTGGCTAGGGCTTGATTTATTTTATTGATTTTTCTCAAAGAACCAGTTTTTGGTTTTGTTGATTCTATATATCATTCTCTTTGTTTCTATTTGGTTGATTTCAGCCCTGAGTTTGACTATTTCCTGCCATCTGCTCCTCTTTGGTACATGTGTTTGCAATTTTTTTTGTTCTAGGCCTTTCAGGTGTGCTGTTAAGTTGCTAGTGTAGGATCTCTCCAATTTCTTTAAGAGAGCACTTAGTGCTATGAGTTTTCCTCTTAGTACTGCTTTCATTGTGTCCCATAAGTTTGTGTATGCTATGTCTTTCTATGGCTGGCAGAGTAACATACATCAGTAACACAGCACTAGGAAAGCAGAGTCAGGGAGATCACCATAAGTTTGAGGCCAACCTGGTCTACATAGCAGGTTTAGTACCAACTGGGGCTACCTAGTAAGGCTCTTGCTTCAAAAAAGTATTTGACAAAAATAATTTGCTTTTTAAAATGTATACTAAATACTTGTCTAAAAACTTAGCACAAATTGAAACTTTCAAATTCTGTATATTTAACCATCTCAAGTACTACCAATATTAAATATTTTTAAATTAGTTCTTTGCCTTAGATTAGAATACAGGAAATGACATGATGTTGTCAAATACCAAAGATTTTAAGGTTGAGTTTACATTTTTTCACTGAAGTTAATTTTGTCATGGTCTCTCTAAACTGATTGGTGGAATCTGTGGCAGGCATGAACATGTGTTTTCTATTGCTTTTAAAATGGTGGGCCTAATGCAAAGAGCATAATCTTGAAACAAAGCATCTTACAGCATTCCCTGTGACCTCATAGGGTTTCTCTTGTTTTCTTCATCTTCTCTTGACCTTATTATTCTCACACCATCGGAAGCATCCTGTCCCTTCACGTGCTCACTTGAAAATCTAAGGATTCCTTGGCAATTTTCAGACAGTTTTTTGATTAAAAAATATTCTGAGCATGTTGCACCCTGTCAGAATGACACTCGGGGTTTTCTGTGGGAATAGCTAGAAACAGAACAAGTTTTCTTTCTCAAATGGCAAATAATCAGTAGAAGTTTATGTACTCAGAATAGCTTTGCACTGCATTGGGTCTTCTAGAAGTTAAGCATGTGCTCCTTAAGAATGAGCCTTTCGTTGAGGTAAATTCCCCTTCTGTCTTTGCCTTTAAAAATGTGATGTCTGCACTAATCCTGTGAGCCATGATAACACAACAGTGTCAAGCATCCATCCCCAGGAAAAACACAACAGTGTCAAGGATCCATCCCCAGGAAAAGAGGAAATGATGCCCCAGCTCGGGGTGGGGGGGGGAGGGAATGTTAAAGAACCTGTGTGATGCAGCAGGGCACTTCACTTACTGACTTGTAGCTAAACAGATGCTGAAGCTTAAAGACAGCTAAGGATGGGGTAGAGCTGGAGCTCAGTGGCAGGGTCTGCTTGGGTTAGGGTTAGGCTTAGGCTTAGGCTTAGGCTTAGGCTTAGGCTTAGGCTTAGGCTTAGGCTTAGGCTTAGGCTTAGGCTTAGGCTTAGGCTTAGGCTTAGGCCCTGTGTTCAATTTCCAACCACACAGATAGGTTAAATTAGGATGGAAGGATGGATGGATGGATGGATGGATGGATGGATGGATGGATGGACAAACAGGATTAGATTGATAAAGATAGAGAGATTGATTTGTCCAGATCAGTAAAGTGTGAAAGTTTTATAATATATAACCTGATTCCTCTTACTTCTGGTACTTTTGCCATAAGTAACTGGGTTTATCCTTGCCCAAGCGAGAATTCTCAAATTTAACCTTGAAAGATTCAACCATGATTCTCAAAAGTCTGCTGCCATACATCCTGGCCTCTCTTTGACTCTCACTTCCTGTTACTGAAATCTGTAGGAGATACTCTGAGATCATAGCCTTTGGTAGTAACAAACCTACTGTAAACTATTACCACAAATGTAAATCAAACATACAGACACCTATTTTAGTCTGTCTCCTTCCAAATGCTAAGTTGTAAATACTCTGTGTTGCAGTAGAACTGGGCACTGGCTGAGAAAGGGGAACTCTGTGTGCATTTGAAAGCCAGTGTGTAACGGGCTTCGTTCAGCAAGTCTTTTGACTTTTGAGTTGATATGTAGTAGTCACAAAGGCAGCTCAGTTGTCTGGCAAGTACGGAGCAGTGTGTCTGTCATCTGGGTTTTCTGCCATTTTTCTGCTTCTGTTCCCCCTTCCTGTCCCTCCCCACACATACTTCTTTAAAAACTAGACCCCCAGAGAGCCTAACATCTAGGAAGATGGTTGTGGTACAAATTGTAATTTTTACATAACAAGACCATGGAAGTAGCAGTTATATCTAGCTCTGGAGCTTACAATTATCCCTAGTAGCACCTGTGACTACTAGAAATCTTGTATTTTGCTTTCTTCTTTATTTCTTTTGCTTGGCTAAACTTGAAGTTTCCTTTTCTAAAGCAAGTAATTTTATAGTATGTATATAAAATCACACTTTTTTTTCTCCTAAAGAAAGTGTGTTTAGTTTTAGTTGCATTTTTACAATTTGCATGCTCTCCTGTATTTTATAACCTTTGGTTTATGCAGGAATATGCTGAATTTCAGTATCGGAGGAGGCACAGACAGCAGCGCCGTCGAGGAGATGTGCATAGCCTGCTCAGTAATCCTACAGACCCCGATGAACCAAGCGAAAGCACTTTCGGTGAGCTCCTGGGACAATGGGTGTCATTTTTTTCTCTTAATCTTTTGAGTTTATTTTTAAAACTATCAGTTGTCAGTGTTTGTGAATTTGCAGTTTGGGTTTACCATAGATGTAGAGATGCCTCTATTGTCTAAAAGAAAAGCAAAGCAGGGAGTTAGTGACTGAAGTAGGGATGTCCCAGGGTATTACACCCATCTCTGCTGTGTCATTTAAATCAAGGCACTGACCATCTCCATCTTCACTTACCTTAAAGTCAGTATCATTATGTTATGCTTGGAACATTTTCTCTGCATTCAAAAACAAGGTACGAGGCATCCTACCAGATTAGAATGCAATAAGTAAAAGACTCTTGTGCCCCAGGGTATCAGAGCCTTACCTTTCCCAGAGCCAGTCTTAAAAACAGGACTATTTTAATTATTTGACTTTTAAGTGTTAAGTTTTTCATTAAACATGCCTAGACTGTAATATCAGGATCAATTGGCCTACAGATTGGTTCTTGAGGCTATTACAGTTCCAGAACTCTTTAATGTTATGAAATCTGAAGACACAAACACTGCCATTCATTGTGACTTAGGAAAGAGGGCTGGGTAGTAGACCGAGAATTACTGAAAGCTGTAGAGACGCGGCTTTGAGATGGTCGTACTAGATAGCTGCTGTTGCTTACTGTCACACAGTCCTGCTGAAAATGCAAGAAACGAGAGGGACGTGGATGCGAAGCTGTGCTTCCCCAGGAACTGAAAGAAAGGCTCTCAGTTTATAGGTGCATGGAGACAACTGAATTGTCTGTGGTGCCACTTGTTTTCAAACAGATCTACCAGAGGGGGGCAGCAGCCGCAGGCCTGGTGCATCCGTGGTAAGCTCTGCATCTATGAGTGTTCTGCACAGCTCTTCCCTGCGTGACTACAGCCCTGCCAGTCATTCTGCAAACCAGGACTCTCTTCAGGTAGTCTCGGCGGCCGGCAGCAGCCGGTGCCATGCCTCTGCTCCTCTGCCCTGTGCTTTCTTTCGCTGGTCTCCTTGTTCTTTCTGGGGTAGAAGTCTTGTTTCAAGGATAGGGTACAAATGGGTTCTGGTATTTCATATTTATAAGGCAAGGAGAAAATTGTAAGATTTAAATATGTAAAATAACTTGTAGAATTAAAAGTAGTTGTATTATCTGATAAAAGAAGACAGATAAATGTGATTGGATTTTTTAAAGTGGTTATACTTTCTGTCACCTCAGGCTCTGAGTTCCTTGGATGAAGATGATCCCAACATACTCCTTGCCATACAATTGTCACTGCAAGAGTCTGGGCTGGCCATCGATGAAGAAACCAGAGACTTCCTTAGCAGTGAAGCATCCCTAGGAGCCATAGGCACATCTTTACCTTCCCGACTGGACTCTGTGACTCGGAGCACAGATAGTCCTCGGGCTGCGCTGAGCAGCTCTGAGCTGCTGGAACTTGGTGACAGCCTCATGAGACTAGGAGCAGACAGTGACCCGTTTTCAACTGACACTTTGAGTTCACGCCCTCTCAGTGAGACAAGAAGTGATTTTTGTCCCTCTTCCAGTGACCTTGACTCAGCTGGCCAGGACCCCAGTGCCAATGACAATCTTCTTGGCAATATTATGGCTTGGTTTCATGACATGAACCCTCAGAGTATCGCCCTGATTCCTCCAGCAGTAACCACAGAGACGAGTGCTGAGCCTCATCCTCCCTGTTCAAGAGATGGGTCTGAAGGTGTGAGGGACATGGAGCTGGTGCCGCCAGAAGACTCAGTGTCCAAAGATGCTGCTGATCATGAAGGGAAAAGAACCCAGATGGGAGAAAATCCTCTGGAAGAGAATACTCTGGCCGGGGAAGAGTTGTCTCAAGCTGGTGACAGTAGTAATGAGGCAGTGAGCAGGGGGGACGGGCCAGATGGTGTCAGTCAAACCCCTCAGACCTCAAGCGACTGGCTCGAGCAAGTACATTCAGTATGAATTGCACACATTTGCTCTCCGGGTGAATCATAGTACAGGGGTCTGGGAGGTGGAGTATGCTTTAGAGAGACTTTAATGCACTTAATTTGAACTCGGTTATAAACCACTGATGTTAGAGTTGAATGCAGAGGGGTTCCCTCAGATGATAGCTGCAGTGTCAAGTTTAACCTTACAGGGAATTTCTTTTGTGTCTATCCCCCTTTTTAGTGTCAAAAAAGAGCAGGAGAAAACACATGGAATGAATGGGTTGACACCCACATTCTAAGAGAATGCAGCGCTCTGTCTAGCCTAGAGTTGGCAGTACTTAAGTTGACCATTTCAATCAAAAGCTTCCTCTTTATTCCTTACATGGCTTCCTCTTTTTCATAGAAATGAAGAGGTTTTTTTTATTGTAGAAGTTGGGCCAGACAGTTCTGATCACGTGTCTTCAGTGTCTGTCTCATCTCCAGGGGCCTTCTTCCCTCCTGTTGTCCAAGCAGTGTGAGCTGAGGTGTCCGTGCTGCTTTTAGTGCTGCATCTACCAGTGTGAGTAGTTTCTGTTTCACATGATGAAAGATTCCTTCTCATGTCTCTTCACAGTCCAATTGTGCCAAACTCTGACTCATGCGCTGACTGACAGGGCGGGTAGGTGTGCTGCTTCCTGGTGTGCTCCAGGGCAGTGTCAGTGTGCTCGGGAGTAAAAGGTGCCACCCGGTAACAGTAACTGTCCAGAAATTAATGGGCTTTTGTTGCCATGGAGACTGCATTTAAATAAATGTAGCCTGTAGCTTAAGTAAACTAAAGCTAATGCTGCTGTTAAAACAGTTTATTTTAATATTAAAATACAGTTGATTAGCAACAGCGGTGCTGTATTTAAGAGACACTTTATTGGAAGTGCAATCATAGTTCTTTGTTTTCACAGTTTTACAGTGCATTCTAATTACTAACGGGTGCAATTACTTTTAATGGTGTTTTATAACATAGAAAAACTGGAGTTTTCATGAGTTACAGTAAATCCCACAGTTATTAAAAAATTCAATACAACATCCTACACAACATGTTACCGTGCCTTTGCCTAACCTAAACGGATAGTTGCCAGTTAAGTAAGTCAGTAATTCCAATCTCAATGTCTTTCTGAAGTAACTATGCTATGAATTGCAAAGACCTCCATGAAACCACCCATGGCCTTGCTTTTACAGTAACTATGACAACTAAGTGTTCAGTTCGTTTGCCTAGATAGCAAATGCTACTGTGTTTGTTCTCTTGCGCAATACTCATTTGCTGTTTGATCACTGTTTAGTATTGAAAACTCAGCCTCCTAGTTATCAGTGTCCTACTGTGAAGAAATACTGGTCTTAGTTGTAATTACGATACAGTGGTCCAGTGTGTAATTAAACTAGAGTAAACTGTTGGAATGGCTCTTGTACTTACATTATTAAAGCTAGCATAACATAAGCAACATAGATCCAAGGAGTGCTCCTGGAGTGCTTTGCCACATTGTTACCAGAAACCAAAATCTCTATGCTAAGTGTGTACAGGGAAGTCCTCGGCCAAGTGAAAGATTGTCTTTAATATTGGTATCCACAACTATCACTTTTCATTACCTCTTTTTCAAACTTTGTTTTTGAAATATTCATGTACTTTGATTTCATCTGGCCAAGAAGACATTGTACTTGAGGATTTAATTGGTAATTGTTCATGGATATCAAGAGTCCCAATGGGTTTTTTTTCTCCAGTTATCACGACATTGATATGAATCCCTATTAAAGTTAGTGGGGGGAAATGCTAACTTTGTCTACAGTGTATTACTGTATATTAAACTAAAATAGTCCATTAAAGGATTTTTTATTTGGATTAAAAATATGAATACCTTAAAACTTCTAGACCAGGCTGTAACTTTTCCAGTAGAAAGCACTTGCATCCCTAGAGGGATCTAGCACAGCCGTGGGGGGGAGAGTGAGTACCCAGTGGCTAGGAGGGGGATTCCTGTGGAGGAGGTGTATATACATGCAGAGGAGGGGTGCCTGCAGAGATCCATGGGTGCGGGGCTCCTGTTCCTTCACCTTGTGCAGTGCCTGTTATGATGTGCTGGGTTCCTGAGTGTGAAAAACTAGGGTTATCCAGTTTGTATTTCCTTGGTACATATTTTAAAAACAACACAGTCGTTGACTTTCCAATTCAGTAATAAAGTTTGGCAAAGCCTATTTTGTAAACAAGTTAATTTTATAATGTAAAAAAAGTTAATCTAATCTTGACTTGTTATTTGCACTTTCATAGTCTATACTTGATACATTCCCACTTTATATACAGTAGGATTCTACAGACCTGTAGATGTTTGGCCAAATGAATGCTGTTAATAATATGTAAAATTCTTTGATTAAACATTTATTACTTAAACTATTTCCATTTTGTCTCATTAAATTATAAATTTCATTTAAAACTAATTAGGAAGCAAATCTTGCTTTATATTAAATACCCTCCAATATGACAGTATTAATTTGGTTCTGTTATGTAATTGAATAGTGCCTAATATTTTTACAGTAGCCCATTTGCTGAAAATTGTATACCCCAGAGGTAAATTTGATTTCACTATGACATGTATTAAAATTAAGAAATTTGATAAATCTGATTTCGTTTGATAACAGTATGTTAAAATTATGAATTTAGTGCTCATTTTCATTTCTATAGTTTTATGAGGAATATGTTATGATTTCCTTGGAATCAAACAGAGAAAAAGTAATACAGAACTTCCAGACCTATTTTGTGGAATTGGGAGGAAGAAATGTATGCCATATGAATAAAATGTCATGCTTCTCACCACCTCATTCTCTGCCTTCTGGTGAGCACAGCCCTCGGCAGCCCACCTCAGTGCACACACATCCAGGCCGCTGCGTCCCTCACCATTGCCTTATCTAAGCCTGTCATCATGTGGATCTGAAACAACTTCCAGTGTCCATCCACCTTCCGAGTCCTGCCTCAGTGTGTGGTGCAGCCTCTAGTCTCCTTCTCGTTTTAGACATAGATATCCTTTTGCCTGGCCCTTCAGGAATTGAAACCTGATACTTAATGAAGTTCAGTCATTTAAAAACAATTAGTCTCTCTCCAAAGAATGAAACCTTGAAACACAGGCAAGGGTGGGGTGGGGTGGGGTTGGGGGCTGACCTAGGGAAAGCCTGTTCCTGTGCTAGGCTGTTGCCTTTCTTCTCTGCGTCCAGCCAGTCTGTAACTGTTGGGTCTTCTCTTCAGCCTGCTGCCCTGTCAGTTCCTGTAACCTCCTCAGAGGCAGCAGATGAGGTTTCTAGAGAGGCGGCAGTGGCTCTCACCTAGACGTCCTGTTATTTTAGGAGCAGGTCGGTTTCCAGTTTGTTTTCTCTTTTCCTCAGTATTGGCCATTGACCCTTGCAACAGGTAGTAAAGAAACCCCCACACACACAAAAAGGCTCTTGTGGTATTCACTCAATTCTGCTTATAATTGACAAAGGTAGTTGACAGCCAAGCTTTTGAAGGAATTATTCTTCAGTCTTTGAAACTAATTTGAGAGAGTTGTTAGGCTTTCTGTATCTCCTAGTCTCTTACCTCACTGGGTGCTTCGTGCACGAGTGCTACCCTGCACGAGACATCGGCTCCTAAACAGGTTAAGAGACAAATGCACAAGAGTGGGCAGAAGAGCACAAGATAATAGCTGTGTGAACTCCTTGTCTGCCCACACCTCTGTGTGTTTGAGACTGCTGTGAAACAGTTTCGTTATCCATTCAGATGGTGAGGACACATTACACTGGACTGCCCACAGGACCCCACCTACTCGGGACCTATAGCTTCTCCTTCCCCATTACAGAACATGCTCCAAAAACATGTCCATTTCAGGAGCTGAGGATGTGTCAGCCACCCATAGTGTAGCACAGGAACGCCAGGTCACACTGTCCCTCACTGAGGAGGATGGACCCTGTCCATCTCCTCCCATGTGTCTCCCTCCAATTCATGACCTCTAACTTTTATTCTTAGATGCACACGTATGTAGAATACAATCACTGGCTCCATTTTGTTACATGCAGATGTGTTTAGGGCTGACTGTTCCAGATTGGATAACCTGTTGGGGGCTTATTCCTGGAGAAGAGTGATTTTTCCTCCCTCAGCAGCCATTCTTTGCCTGTAGCTCTTCATCTAAGAAGCCTTGTGAGACTTCGCTTAGCCATGTTGGAATGTCAACTGGAAATATACTCACTTTTGTTGGTTTATTTCTATTATTTTATATGTGTTTTGACTGTATGTATGTATGTATGTATGTATGTATGTATGTGGACCACATGTGGTGCCTGGTGCCCACAGTTTCAAGAAAGTCAAGAAACAAAAGCCCAACCTTAGCTATACCTGCTACGTTTCTCCTTCCTGGTGAGCATAAACTCTCCATCCAGGAACCTGCTCCCACACATCAAGCATTCCTGCCCAAACTTAGGGATGGTTGAGCTAGTTTACAAACTTAAGGAAACAAGTGAGTTTGATTATCCTGATTTGCCAATTGTGAGAATTGAGCTCTGGAAGAGAATCATCTTTTCAGCATCCATAGGATTCAAATTGCAGAAAATCAAACCAAAGCCCTTGTTATAAGACTGACTGAATTCCAGGAAGAATTTAAGTCACAGCCTCCGAGGGAGTCAGTGGTTAAAATGAGGGCATTCGTTGTTAAAGAATGGGATCGTGTAACTTGGTATGGGAATATGTGGGAGGACCCACTGAGGCTGAGAACTTGGAACCCTCAGATTCTCAAGGGTTTACCTCACCTGAGGAAATAGTGTCTCCACCCTCAGCAGAAGATATATTCACACCCCATCCCCTGAAATCTCACCTTTGACTGAGGAAAGAATCCTTCATTGTCTGTTAAACCAGCAGTGACTTTCTCTGAAGGGAATAGCAGACAATACTGATGTCCCTCAGGGCCCACCAATAGTTGCTCTGGATCTATAACTAGACTTAAGGCAAAGCGAGCCTCTAGAGGGGAAATGGAAATTATAGCCGACAATAAAGTGAGCTAGACTACAAAAGAGGTCAATGATTGCAGACACTCAGAGCAGACGTCTAGGGAGTATGTATAGGAATGGGTTGCTGTGGGATAATGGTGGAGAGAACAAAACTGGATCAAATTGAGTTCCTTGATCTGGGTCCACTGAGTGGAGATTCTAGGTTTGATATGGAAAGTCACACACTTTTGTTTTTTTCTTTTAATGCCAGAAGTTTGTGTGAATGGTGGCCTGAAGCATTTGTCAAAAGATGGCCTACTGAAGAACTGGAAATGGCTGTTGTCCCCCTGGCTTAGTATTGATGAAGGGATTTTAAGACTCAGGAAAATTGTAATCCCAGAGTCGGTGCGCTGTGTAAAATCTCATCCTCCATGATGGGAAGGCCCACAAGACATGCCCTTCACTGAGCCTGTAATGGTGACAGTGTTACCAACACATTTGCAGCGCTTTGTGGTTGCCTTTTCCTCGTGCCAGACTTCTACCGGAGACACTGCTCATCGGTTGGATGACTTAAGTGCAGTGGGTTTGACTTGGCCCCAGAGTGGCAGCATTAATCAACAAAGGCAAGATGGCTGTAGTTACTGTAATGGGTGCCACAGACAAAGCATGTTCATAACGGCCTGACCCCAGTGGTTCTCAGCCTTCCTAATGCTGCAACCCTTTCATTCAGTTCCAAGTGGCGTCTCCACATGTGGCCAGACCCCTGGAGACAAAGGAACAGTGGCTCAGTTCCTAAGACCTACAGAAATACTTGTTTTCTGGTGGTCTTGGGCGACTCCTGTGAAAAGGTCATCTGACCCCCAAAGGGATTGCAACCCACAGGAGGAAAACCACTGGCCAGCACAAGGCAAAGCGATTTTTATGGCGGCATGCTTTGTGTGGGCCTTTGGTACTAGCTAATCAACCATGGTGTTTGCAAGCATGAAAAGGAGCCTACTGCATTTTTGTGTTTTTTTTTTTTCTCAAAGAAAAGAAAGGCTCCATTAGACCATGGCAAAAGGGAATCTCAGCCCATGAACCAATTTCTAAACTTGAGCTAGTTTGCAGACCCAGAACCCCTTGAATGAGGAGACAGGTTTTCCTGAGGAAGGACCTTAATAAACCTAAAAGCTTACTGTTAGCCTCGCTCCAGTTCTTCACTATAGGGACTTACAGCCTTTTAACAAAGGTAACTGCGGGATAAACACACTTAGAAGTTGTAATTCTCACATTTGTTCCCTGATCCATGGAAGGAGGGCTATTGTGTCTGGAAAAACTAAATGAGAACCTTTAGAGTTGTCCCTGGTACTCAAAATATAGAGTGAATCAATAACAGTATCACATCCCTGAGGAGCTGCAGAAATTAATGCCACCATCAAGGACATGAAAGATGCAGGGGTGTGGTTCTCACCACATCTTCCTTTAACTCTCCTATCTGGCCATTGCGGAAGACTGATGGATCATGGAGAATGACACTTGACTATCGAAAATTCAGTCAGAGAGTGACTCCAGTTACACCTTCTATACAAGATGTGGTGTCCTTGCTTGAGCAGATTAACACATCTCCTGGTACATGGTACACAGCCATTGATCTGGCAAATGCCTTTTTTCTTGGTACCTGTCCATAAAGACCACTGGATGAAATTTGCTTTCAGTTGGCAAAGCCTGTAGTATACCTTTACCGTTAATATGTATCCCTCGAGGGACATTAACTCTTCTGCTGTGTCATAACTTAGTTTGAAGGGATCTTGATTGTCTCTTCCACAAAATATCTCACTGGTTCACTATCTTAATATTACAATGATTGAACTAAGTGAACAGGAGATAGAAACCACTTTGGTAACCCAGATGAATATCCAAGGATGGAAAATAAAACCCAAGCTGGGTATTATCCGATCCACTAATTCATAAAGTAGGATATGCACAGCAGTGACCTATTATCAAATGGATATGATATATGCGTGATTGAACCTGAGGAAGTCCTGAAGGCACAACAAGTTACATGAAGTTGCCTAAGTGCCTATGGTTTCTACTTCTGTTACAATGCCATCTGCTGTCAAGCATGCTCCTGCAACCTCTTCAGGTGTGCCAAGATCGACTGACTGACTAGTCAATGCGAAGACTAGTGCCTAGTTTACTGATGATGCTGTACATTATTCAGGCAGCATCCAGAAGGGGACATCTGGAGTATCACAACCCTTTTCTGGAACAACTATGAAAGACACCACTGAAGGGAAATCATCACAGTGGGCAGTATGCATGGCCATACATTTGGTTTGGAAAGAAAAATGGCCAGATGTGCAAGTGTTCTGTTTCATGGGCCATACCCTAATGTACTGATGGAATGTACAGGGACCTGGAAAGAGCATGATTGTAAAATTGATATGAAAGACATCTGGGGAAGAAGTGTGTGGCTAGATCTCTCCAAATGGACAAAATATGTGACGGTCCTTGTGACCCATGTAAATGTTCATTAAAGGGTGACTTCAGCAGAGGGGGAGTTCAGTGATCAAGTAGATATGATTCTGTGGACAGTCAGCAGCTCTCCTCAGCCATTTCTGTCATGATGCAATGGGCCCGTAAATAAAGTGGCCATGGTGGTAGAGGTGGAGGTTATTCATGAGCTGCTATGCTCCATGTCAAACAACATGGGCTGCCAACCACCAAGGCTGACCTGGCTACAGCTGCTTCTGAGTGCCAGATCTGCCAACAGCAGAGACCCAACACTGAGACCTAGATATAGTACCACTTCCCAGGGTGACCAGCCAGGGACATGGTAGCAAGTCTACTACACTGGATCACTTCCTCTGTAGAAAAGACACCACTTTATC